AAACTCCAAGTGGCCTAGGTGGTTCATGACCTGTTTCACATTTGATTCCTTTTCCTTTGTCACCTGCTCTGTGTAGGACTTGTACTTTTTGCGCATTATTTGGATCAGAGTGTTCAAATCATTGTTAATATCACCTATGATGTCATCAGCATTTTTCTCAAGTTTACTTTTGTAAGCAAGTGTATCTTGGATTGCCTGCTCGTAAATATCCATACGTCCTTTGCCTTGTGTTATAACGGCACCTATGGGCTTCATGTTCTTTGCAGCGGCCTCTTTTACCTCATCAGCATCATGGTTACGGTGATTTATCGTGTAACACAGCTGACAGAGTACAATCTTATCTTCTTTACAATAGAGCTCAAGTGGTTTAGTTGGGTGAATCTTACAGTAAACAGTACGCTCTTTTATAGACTGAAGGGCTGTTTCTAGGTCGCTAGCTTTATCTCCTGTAAGGTCAAGTATTTTATGACCTTGAAGAAATGAGTCATGATTCTTACGACACGTGACACATAACCTCTTGTTGCAGTCCAAGCATCTTGTAGTTGCTGGGGTGTGCCTCTCATGGGTGTTGCGACATGTTGTACATTCAGGGTCTTGCGTCTGGTTGCTGTCCTTATAGGCATCTAATAGGAATGTAATGGTTGGGCTCACCTTGAACTCTCCTACCCCCTGTTGCGGTACAATACATTCATGGCGGCACTCTGGGCAGTTGAAACTCCCTCCGTTGAGCCCACTTTTCTCTGCAATACTGTGTAGACACTTAACACAGTATGGGTGCAAACATGGTAATGTTCTTGGGTCAGTCAGAATGTCCTTGCATACTCCACATGTGAGAGCTTCCTGAAAACGATCCTCAGAATATGACGCCATCTTAAAATATAGACTGTTTATCAAGCATATGACGTGTTCTCATTCCAAAGTCTAACCCTTATTTAAGTGTTTTTCAAGCTAACTCAGTGTTTAGATAAGTTAGTTATTAAAAAGAGACTAAAAACTTAATGTTCTAGCTGAGCTTGTATTGATAAAAGCACATTGTATGCAGAAATCTTATTCGGTTATTGATTTACACTATGTCACCTTGACAGAGAACTTGAGTTAACAAAAAACGTTCAATATGCTTTCAGCATGTAAGAATGTGCATTCAATTAAACTATTTTAGTGGGACTCTAAAAAATATTTCTCTGACTTCACTTTGTGGATTTTGTTGATCTTAGTTTAGTTCTACATTTTTTGAAGTTGATAAAAGTTATTTTGAGTTTGGAAACCATTTAAGGCCCTATATGAAGTTTGAAAATATAGTTTAATCATTCAAATATTATTACTTTTCATGACATAAAAAACATTTGAGGCATTTTTTGAAAAATATTACTTGAAAAAAGCTGTTCATCTTATAATTATCAAATATTTGAATTTCCTGTGGTTTAAGAAACAAAAGTTTAGGTTTTCAGATCAGCAAATACAACACTAACTATTGTAAAATGACAATATTTTCTCTACTCCATTAAATGATCAGGAAAAAGTAATAGTTTTCAACCATTTAATTACGATTTTTTAGCCATTATGTCCCTATCATTGAATATATGCCTGAGGTCTGACGTCAATATAGCCCGAGCTTGCGAGGGTTATATTTACGACAGACCGAAGGCATATATTCAATGATACGGACATAATTGTTGTATTACATACCTAAAGTACATTTTACATTACATTTCATGAATATAATATGTAGAAATGCGTGAAAAAAGACAAAAATGCTTTGTTTTCATGTTATATCAATGACGTCACACGTCTGTGTGCGATTGGAATATGTAAGAAATGAAACGTGACGTCATACGATTGTCATGGTAAAAAGTTTGGCGGCTATACAGGAATATATAGCCGTCCTTCAGCTCCATTGACTTCCATACAAATGCTTCGCTAGGTATGTAATACATGCATATATAAACTTTTAAAGCATTTTTAAATACTATATTCTAGTATTTGTAATGTCAAAATGACACATTGTGAAATCACTCAGGTGGCAAAATATTTTTTTCAAAAATTGTCAGTGTGTGATAAAACGGACCATTCTTGGTTTGGAGAACGAAGTTACCCTTGTCATCCCTGTTACCCCTGCTTCGGACAAATTTGATTTTTTACATAAATATTGATTTGAATCTCTTCTTTTGAATAGTCATTATTTAATTTGGGTGATATTTCTAGATTTTTCATAAAAATATTATAAAACTGGTTTCATTTGCTGTTGCCTCATTTTAGACATATAACTCTACTAATGAAAGAATTTTCAAGAAGACTACTGAAATCAAAATGGCTGCCAATTTCCAGGAGAAATATTTTTATGATAACGCAAATACCGTATCATGTTTTGGTCTGATTTTAAGGCTAATGCATCATGGTCATAGGATCTTCACTCAGAAATGAATTTAAAATGGGAAATCATGTAACATCATGGGCGTAGATTTTGCCTAAAGGAAACAATATTAGTATATTAATACTACTGTGACAATGTGACTTCAATAATATTGATACAGCCCCCTCCCACTAGAGTCCACAGAGTCTAGCAAAGAATGACATCTATGTATAGTAGGCAATTTATACAGACTGTATTAAATTCAGAATTTGAATTATAATCAAATATAATATTAACAGAATGTTACGTACACTATAGATAACAAAAGCTGTTAAAAGATAGATGTCAGGGGTACACTTAGATTTTGCATTCTAAAAACAATCATTTCTTGTATGTGTTATATGTTTAGAAACTAATGCGTAATTTACAATCAAATCTGGCTGTCCATACCTGGGTGACATCTATCTTTCAATGTAATGTTTATTTACACGAATGTCTCAGATACTTGAATTACTGGTAATGAATGTGTACCATTATATTAGGGGTGGGACGGATAACCGAAATACCGAAAAACCGCGGTTCATAGCCTTCGGATCGGTTTTCGGATCACGGCCCTACTTTCGGATCAGCTTTTCGGATCGTTTTCGGATTAATATTTCATTGGTCAAGTATCAATAAAACAGTTAAAAACACTGTTTTACAGCAACATTTTTGATATTCCTAGTCCCTACCTTGTCTGTCTTGTCTGTTGCTAGCTCACTCGTTCGTTTCATATCCGCGTATTCGTATCCGTCGGTAATCAATCATGTGGTCCCTGGTACTATATTCTTTAGTCGTGTATTCTAAATAATATGTATTGTTCATGAAATACTATAACATAAAATTCCATCTATAAAATATTGTTATAACGTGGCATAATTGATACAAAGATTTGCGCAAATTTATATTTGCGCAGGTTCGATATAGGGTATTATTTTGTGCGCACCCACAATACATTCAAATATGGCGTCTGGATCTCAAATTCCCGTTTTCCCAAAAGAAATGTAGATAATAAATTAGTTATTTTATTGGTTGTATTAAAAGAAAGTGACAGTCAGCAGTGAAGTCAGAGACAAAGCAGCTAATCATGTCAATCAATACAAATCCTTAAAATGAATGAACCGAACCGAAAAAACCGAACCGACGGCTGATGATCCGAAAAACCGAAACGAACCGTCCCATCCCTACATTATATGATATATAACATAACACAGGGTTCTCTCTAGGCTTTTAGACTCCAGAGATTCTCCGTAGTCTAATGTTTTTAGACCCTCTTGCTCCAGAGTCTAATAGCTTTTCCGGATTCTAAAGTGTTTTTCAGGAGTCTATTGTGGTAAAATCTTGAGAAATTACATACAACTGGATAAAAACAAAGAATAGGAAGTCAGAAACTTTTTAAAGTGTCTCTCGCGCGCTATCTATGATGTCTGGGTTGTCTGTTCCAAATGTGATTTAGTGTATATGTAATACTAGTTGTATATTTAGCTCATATTTGTGAGCCATTGTAATCACCCACTTTTCTGTCGACTGTTTGTCCATCTTTTCATTTGTCTGTCAACATATTGGTTACCCCTTAATCTTTTATAATCCTCCATATCCTTGGCAATTTAAATGGCTCACTTTTAAATTATGTACCAGTACAACCTTGTACTTCTAATAATGCAGTTTTTTGAAGTTTTAGATTATACATCACTTCATATTTTACATGACTATATACATAATCCTGGGATCTAATATATCCATTCCATGTATATCTCATTCCTAACTGTCATTCCTATATAACAGCTCCTATCACTGTATTAGTTTGTCAACTGACCTATTGTTTTACAGCTTGGTGTTTTGAGTATCCTCTTGTTGGATATTTAACTCGTTTTGTATTGAGTATTTAACATCATCTGGCTTGTTTCTGATATTACCTGGCCTCTTTGTGATATTACTGGGCCTTTCTGTGATATTGTGTGGCCTCTCTGTGATATTACTGAGCCTCTCTGTGATATTGTTTGGCCTGTCTGTGATATTACCTGGCCTCTCAGTGGTATTGGTCAACCTCTCTGTGATATTACCTGACCTCTTTGATATTACCTGGCCTCTCAGTGATATTGCCTCCAGGCCTCTCAGAGGTATTGGCCAACCTATCTGTGTTATTGCTTGACCTCTCTGTGATATTGCCTGGCCTCTGTAAAATTACCCTGCCTGTTGGTGATATTGACTGGGCTTTTGGTGAAGCTGATAGTGAAGTTACTGCTATATTATGTTGCATTCCTGTTCCTCCCAGCTGGGAAAGCTGCCATAATTGTATGTTTGGAGTTGGCTTTAGATCCTTTTATTCCAATAGTCATCGGAAAGGACCCTGGTAGCCCTAGTAGCCATGCTCTCCACACATGTGCCAAACCAGTTAAACTTGCAATCTTTCGTGTAACTTTCACAATACACTCCATTTACTACTTTTCCAGGAAGTGAACAGTTGTATTGTTGCATTTCGAACTCTTTTAGAAATCCATCATCACCACAAAATATGTATTCTCTCGGAATTATTGTTTCTATGCTGAATACTCTATTAAGTTCATAGATGCGATGTAAGATATAAAGGGAACTTTCTACTATACCTGCCATGCTATCTGACCCAAATGAGCCACCTGGTGGTGAAACTGGTAACTACCTACTCATATCTTGGTTATTCACAATAGCCACCATTTTTCGTAAACTCAAATTCCAGTTGAGCGATTTAGTTCAGATTTTATATGTGGATGCCTTAGGATACAGAGGCTTTGCTCCAGAATAAATTTTCAAGGAGCACCAAGTTCAAATTCAATCATTTTATTTCATGTGATGTTTTTTATACTCTTTATTTTTTACTTAGTTTTTCAATTTTTCAATTAACATAACAAAGATATCACTTATAATTTTCTGATTGATTGATGATTTAACATGACTTAAAATCTAGACTCTATTGTAGATGTTCTTGTATTTTCAGTTGAAAAACTCCCCCTTTTCTCTCAGTGTAGTAAGAATGAGGCATGTGGCACCAAGAATGCAGCATGCAAGAACCAGATATGCGACTGTACAGAGACATACTATAATGCTGGGGACACTTGTGGTAAGAATACCTAAGACAGACTCTGATTCACATTTAAAAGCTTTATTGTATGTTCTTGGCATTTGGAAAAACAATGCATACCCATTAACTACTATTGAACCTTATTATCAGATTAATAGATTTCATGTTGGGATGGTATAGATATAATTTTGCAATTGAATGAATTTGTTTTATCTTCAATTATTTTTATTTTGAACATGCTTTTAAAATGTTTCAGGAGAGTATTAAAGTATTAATAAAGTATTAAAGTAGTATTATTTAAGTACAATGTGTTGCATATTTTTTTCCTACAGTAACCATTAAAATTTTTCTTTACTCAGAAGTTTATCAGAAATTAACTGATTGGAAACTGTAATATGAAGCAGGCTGGTGAAAATGAGAATTACTGAAATGAGCTGAATTATAAAAAAGAATTGTTCCCATTTCTTTTGCAGAACCTAAGGGTGTAGTTAATGCCCCATGTTTGGATGGAAGTGTTAAATGTATCGTGTCCAACAGTGAATGCAAACTCGGCTATTGTGTCTGCCTCCCGAACTTCTTCAACAAGGATAAATCATGTGGTAGGTTTAAAGTGATTTTGGTAAAATTGGAGGTTTTATAAATAGTCCTAATTTGTTCTGTGTTGACAAGAAAAGGGTCTTGTTATTGATTCTATTGGCCCTTAATGGTCCAGATACAAGACTGGTATGAAGAATTGCATTTTCAAATACCCCCAAATTTATCGAGGAAACCCTCTCTAATCTGTGGCCAAAAGTGTTCAGATTGGCGAGTATTTACATTTCAAGTTTTTTTTTATTTGAGCATTAACGTTTTTAGTGTTATTCAGATTGTAGAGATGTTCCTATAAACACAGGTGTTATTGGTATATTACACTATTGGTTTAAAAATGTACATTCTGCATATAAATAGATTTTAAAGATTCATCTTGCTAATCATGCACACATTAACTACATGTATTTTGCATTTTGAGTATGTTTCATTCATAATGCGAAATATAACCAATATTCTTTTTTTTCTAGTTGTAAGGATTGGACTTAAACAGATCTGTGGAAGTGGAGATATATGTGCCAACAAGAATGCCCAATGTGATGGTGGTCGTTGCCAATGCAAACCTCTTTTCTATCAGGACCTAGATACATGCAGTATGTTTAAATTATCACATTTTTCATTACATCCCTTTTTTGCATAATTTTGATAAAAATTATTTGAGGTCATCAGTGAAATAGTTTTACAAAACAGAGTTTGATTTATCAGATTGAAGTTAAAACAATGAAGTTACCCTTGCATTTTGCCCTGTTTCTTTGTTAGCTTCAATTAAAGCATGTGCAAACTCAGATGGGTGATGCAACAGGGGCGATCACAATGATCAAAGTTTTCACACTTTATGATATAATGTAATGTTCACATTTCTGTACAGAGCCCCGTGGAGACCTGAATGCACCTTGTCTTCCTGATGGTACATGTAATGAAAAGAATGTGGAGTGTAGCACCACGGAGATATGTGTCTGTCAACCTGATCACTTTGAGAAAGAAAACAAATGTGGTGAGATTTGATTTAGTTTTAAGAAATACACATTCTCTATTGTAAGGTAATGGACATATTTAGGACAGGGAGCCTACCAAGGAAACAGAAGAAGGTTATTTTTGTACAGAATAAATGATCCCCTTATTAAGCCTTAATTCCCTGAGTTTACTATGAGTTTTTACTTTGACCATGACTCATAATATAAACAACATGTTAAGTATTTATTTTCCCGAATCAATTTATATCAACTTAATAATAACCATGGGGTGCCAACTTCATGTATGATCATTTAAGAATTCTAGACCTATTAGGTGTTTGAAAATCAAGGATTGTGAGTCTCATACTGCACCATTTTTCTTCAAACTTGTTTCATTAAAAGCAAAACAAAAATGCTTTTCTGTTGGTACATTACACTGTTATACAGAGTCCCTCCTTATAGTGGGTTCGGGTTCCCAGCTGTGAGAAGCGCTTCTTACAGCTGGGGATCCAAACTCCAAACTGCTAAAACGAGGGACTCTGTACAATAAAGCAATGCACGAAAAACGGTGCAGTATGACACTCACAATCCTTGATTTCAAACACCTGGTAGGTCTAAAATTCACATTAACGGTCATAGTTGGGACCCCGTGATAACTAGGCTTCTTAATGCATTTATGGATTCATTAATATCAACAAAAATGACTGTACATTGCCAGGTTGTGAGGATATTCGAAAATTGAGCCTCACCCCATCCTTCCAAAATTCATGTTATGCTAATCAGAGAATTTATACTCTGGCCGTAAACATGCATATTTCCAGTTAAATGGGTCTTTCTAAATACATGCAATGCAAATCAGAGAATTTATACTCTGGCCTTAAACATGCATATATGGGTCCTTCTAGATACATGCAATGCAAATCAGAGAATCTATACTCTGGCCTTAAACATGCATATATGGGTCCTTCTAGATACATGCAATGCAAATCAGAGAATCTATACTCTGGCCTTAAACATGCATATATGGGTTCTTCTAAATACATGCAATGCAAATCAGAGAATCTATACTCTGGCCTTAAACATGCATATATTGGTTCTTCTAAATACATGCAATGCAAATCAGAGAATCTATACTCTGGCCTTACCATGTGTATTTCCAGTTGTAAGGGTGCCTCTCAACAGTGTGTGTAGCTTGGGAGATATATGCATGGACAGTAATGCTGAATGTAGGGAGGGCAACTGCAGGTGTAGGGCAGGTTATGAACAGAAGGATAATATTTGTAGTAAGTGCACATTTATGGCATAAATATATGTTTTATTTTTTGCCTTATTTTTGTTTCTTATTTCCAGGCATAAATATATGTTTTATTTTTTGCCTTATTTTTGTTTCTTATTTCCAGCCTCTGCAAGGAGAATGAACTCTCTATGAGCACTTTCAATCCCATGTATTGTTTCCAAGGTCTGCATGCAAGGAGGATTGGAAGCCAGAGTTCCTTTAATCTCCAAGTGATATAATTTGCTGATCGTGCCTGTATATTTCTATGCCTGCAGGGAGAATGAATGCTATTTTCCAACAAACCTGGCATCATTATTGTCTGACATTTACCTGGCTCAATACATGTATATTCATAATCAGCATTCAAAATATTCTAAGTATCATTCTCAGTATCTCATTTATTTCTAGCCTCTGCTGGGAGATTGAACTCACCATGTCTGTCAGGAGAACTCTGCTTGGATGTCCACTCTGTATGTAAAGATGGCGAATGTGTATGTGACAAGAACTATTTCATAAGGAACAGCCAATGTAGTAAGTGATATTGTTAAAATATATTAATGAAGGTCATATCATCATAATGTCTTACTGCTAGGACAGGGTTAAGCATTCTTAACAACACTACTATATATATAAACATTGTCACTGTGAATCTATCAAGAGGGAAACAATAAGCCGTACATGTATACTCAATCTTTACTTTTACATTTTTTACAGGGACCAAGTTAGGTCTAGATAGTGTGTGTGGTATAGAGGACCAGTGTGCTGATCCACATGCCCAATGCAGGAGTGGAGTCTGCCAGTGTCAGGACAATTATTACCAAAATGGAACCATTTGTGGTAAGTGTTCAGGGTGGGGAAAATGAACCCCTCTTTTACAAGATGGAACACAAGATGGCTGTTAAATTCAAAATGGCTGCTATTTTTCTAAAAAGATTATTTTTGATAACTCAAAAACTGGTTAGCAGCTTTGATCTAGATTTGATCTATTCAAAATGGAATTTCTAATATGGCATTTACTAAAAGGAAATCATGCTACAACTGAATATTTCTATCATGAAATGTACCAAATGATGACTGATTTGATAATTTTATAAGTGGAATTTGCTATGCTAGCTAGTCTGATTTTCTGGTATTAAGTACATGTATGACTGTAAAATGCATGATATTATAGAAGCCACAGGAGGTTTGAATAGTCCATGTAGCGTACCAAACACATTGAACAGTGTTAGGCTCAGTACATGTGTGGACAGTAATGCAGAGTGCATACAGGGATTCTGCCAATGTGGCAGTGAATACTTCAACCTAAGAGGAAGATGCGGTAAATATTAAATCATTCATGTTGAAACTTCACCCATCAAAGATGGCCATCTTGAATTGTTAGTTAGCCATTTCTTCTCAGTATGAGTCCAGTATACAATTGTTGACCTCTCTGGAGGTCAACCGGCAAAATTGTATACCGAGACTGTAAACCGAGAAACTACTGTTGACAGAGACCGAAGGTCGAGGTCAACAGCAGTTTCAAGGTTTACAGTCGAGGTATATGATTTTGACGGTTGACTGAATGGAGAGGTCTACAATTGTTTTGTTAGTCAGAAGAAACTAATAGGGCCCCTAATACACATACAGACGACAACCATGGCTTCATTTCACAATCTTTTCTCAGAACCACACCAGCAATCATTTTTTACGAAAATCTGAATACAGTGGTAGCTAAATTCTCTGTTTTCGGCACATCACTGCGTACTCACGAGTAAATAAATGTTAATTTTACGTTTCTATTTGTAATTTTGCTAAATTTGTCGTCTAGTAAAGTAAAAAATATCACTTTCATCAACGTTTACAAAATGTCCATCTACCATGTTTTTTCTGTAAACATTATGACGTCATATTCCCCATAATTCACAAGTGTAGTACAGTAACATACGCGGTCAATAATATGATATCCCATGATGCACAGGTGGGGTACAGGCAAAAATGTTGACCGCTAATTGACCAATCAGATACGAGTATTTACACTGAGGTACTAACAAAACATCTTGATCCCTCAAGTTATTACACGAGACTGAAGGAATTCACTGGTTTAACAGTATTAGTCTAGAAAACAGTTTCATGGTTTTAATTAATAGAGAGATTTTGCAACTCACTTATAGCATGTTTATTATTCCCATATAACGTATAACTTACACAGCATTTGATGACGTATAAGTGTGATATTCTTATAAATCATTGTTTATACATAAGAACATCACACTTCTGGACATGTAGAGCTGTGCAGTAAATGATGATGTCATCAAACCCTTCGTAAGTTATACAATATATCTGATACGGGAATAATAAACATGCTATGAGTGAATTGCGAAAGCTCTTTATTATGTGAAACCGTGAACTTGTTTCAGTTATCCTAGCCCATATAAACTCAACTTTCAGTCTTGTGTCTAGAGCTGCACAAAAGTCCAACTCATGCGTTGTCTCACTTATTAATTATTGGTTGACATTGTAAATCATTGAAAAGTTGCTCCATGAACTACAATTTTTAACAACGTTTTGATTTTCATTCACAGTGAAGAAGAGACCATTGAATTCAGTGTGTAATCCAGAGGAGGTGTGCCAGGACCAGAATGCAATATGTTCTGGAGGAGTCTGTACATGCCAACCAGAATTCTTTGAAGACCAAAGTGGACAGTGTAGTGAGTAGTCATTAAAAAGATAATAAAATCGTGGATAGTGATTAATATCACCTGACCTGCATCTTGTGCATATTTTGTTTTTTTATGTCACCACTTCCTGGTGTTATTGTTACTATGATAATATTTATATTAGTTATTAGTACGATGTAAATTAATATAACATATACCTATGTAACGAAGAAAATCATTAATGGTTGTAGTATCGGTCATTTCATGTACAGTACATATACTTTCATTTGGTTGTTTTGCATCTATTGCATTATGTTTTGCATGTATTGAGAAAATTATGTAAAGCTCTAAAATAACACTTTGCATAAGAAAATGAGAGTCTTAAGTACATGTATATCCTAGTATGGTATCAATTTAATATACACTGTATTTTTATTTTCAGAACACAAAGGTCATCTGAATACACCTTGTCTCTCAGGAGACAGTTGTCTTGACAACAATGCTGAATGCAGCACTGGTGTATGTATCTGTGCACAGGAGTTCTACGAGAAGAACGCCATATGTAGTAAGTTAAAACATCAACCAAAAATGTCAACTGTAAACCATTGTGGTCCATGTGTAAAAAAAATATATCACTGATATATTATGTTTAGACAAAATAGAGTATTTAGGAAAAGATACAAAAAGCAAAAGAGTGAAATTATAGTGATATCAAATGGTAGGTTAAGGTAAATGTTATAGATTATAATGACAAAGTATCTTTATTGTGATCTCTAATTGGATGACACCTAAGCAACATAGGAGTGTGACCCGTGAAACAGTATTAGGAAAAGCTATTGAAACCATAATTTGCAAGCCTCTACAAGACAAATTATGTTTTTGCATTGATGTTGGGAGAAAATTGAGAAACTTCCAAGCAATTCTAGAGTTTTTGAATCACAATTAGAGGTGCAACCTGACCTTATGGATGTCATGCCAAATGACAAGTTTCCTACTTCATTTATGAGAACTTCCAGGTGTGAGGAAGATGTATTGTTTGTTGGAAGAAAATGAAATTTCAGGTGTTGAAGAGTTTAAATGTCTATCAAGGTGATTGAACTTAGTTGTTTTCATCCATTTTTATGTCATAACCAGAAGTGATGCATGTAATAAACAAAAAACAAAATGTTTTTGATCATAATAGGTGATGTCTAATATAGTCCTGTATATAGTATATAAGCCTTAAAATTTGCTCAGAAGTTTATTTATAAGGTAGCTGAGTTACAAAATTGAGAAAATGAAAATGGGTTTTCTGTTTGTTGTATTCTTGTATGTTGCATTGATAAAAAGTCATATCTAAATGAAGAAGCTCATTTCCATGTGACATCTATTTTTCAAGTATTTCATCAACTGATAACTCTTGACATATTTTGAGTATTTTAAGTTATACCACCTTCAGCTTCCAAGTTGTTGTAACACACCTTGAACGCAAATGCTTATTTGTCTGTCCTGTTACTGTGTGATGTGACATGCCCGTAGAGATAATAATGGAACCAATCAAAGTGTCTAAATATTTGTTTCACCACCATTCATATTTATAAATTCTCATTGCATGGTCCTTAATGGGGTTTCTATTGAAAGATCCCTTGAACTGATGTTTTTCTTACATAATCATAATGAGGTTTTGTAGCATGGTATCTTTACTTTGAGAACACTTATTAGCATTTTGTTTTGTTTACTCAATAAATGTGGTATCATTCTTAGATTATCAATATGAAGTTTGAGGAACTGAAACCTTGTGAATCAAGATGTTATACAGTGCTGCTAATCCTTTGTTTCCAGGGCCCAAGATTCGTCATGGGCAAAAGTGTGAGGCTGATGATATATGTGAAAGCAAGTTTGCCATATGTAAAGACAACAGATGTGCTTGTCTCAGGGGATATGGCTCATACAACAACTCATGTAGTAAGTCTGGATAACTTCAATCATATTTTTTATTCATCTTAGTGTTTTGTTGTTCAAATCAAATCAAACTTAAAATGCATGGGCAAAGGCAAGCAGGGGCCAGGCAGGGCAAATGGAGTATTTTTATTCATACATTTTTCAACAAAACCTGAAAAGGAATTCCAGTGGCAGTATTTAATATCCTTTTAGATATATCTTTTGATTATATCTAAACAGAGCTAGGGTCGACCTTATTTTGAATTCACAATTAAATGCCCATATCTGGAACAGCGCAGTGTCTCCGAATTGTACTTGTGGCTCCTCAGAAACGTTTTAACATCTTCTTGAACTGTGGCCTAAGAAAACAAATTAGTGAACGATTTATCAATGCAGTAGAATTTATTGGTTTTGACTTATTATCATACAAAACTCAGCAGGACAAAATCACCTTACCGTAATCGCCGTATTGAGGGCCCACCCCTAATAAGCACCCAACCCACTTCATAGGGTTCAAGAAATAATGAGGAATGACCAAGTACATGTATTAACGAATATATCAGAAAAAATCAAATTTCCAAAGAAATACAGTGGGCGATAATAGAGTACTTACACTAAAATGCAGAAAACATGACGCATTTTGTAAATCGATGCATCCTTCCGATGAATATCTTTTAGTAGATGCTTCCCACATCATACTAAGCATATATTATCGCAAAATAGTCCATAATGAATGAAGGAAATGAAGGAAATGATCACGTTTCAGAGTTTTGTTTTTCGACATTTTACTAACTTAGCGATCGTCAAGGTCATGTCAAGGTCGTGAACTTTCTTGTTTCTTTTTCAGATTTCTCGACTTTTATATGAAAAATGATGATCTGTCATCAAATTTAAAAAAAGGTATAACTTTGGATCGATATCTAACATTCTATTGTGGAAATATTGAAGATAACGCGGAAAACAATTCTTTGACCTCGAGGGGCTCTGCTGGCGAGTTCTTCAATCACTGTCAATATAGTTAGATTCTTGCTTTATTTTAGTGATCTTTACTGTATTCTCTTCAATAACGATACATATCATCATTGTAAAAATATGCTGTTACCTTTGTTGCAAATAAGGCATTTTTGGCAAGAAAAATTCCCATACGTGAAATTCCCTGGGATTTTTGACTTTTTGATTCATATATGGGCGCTCTTTGTAATGGGTTACAATGGGAATTTCAATTTCAAATTTCAATTATTACGGCGAATATGGTATTTCTTTTTGGCGATTCTAGCTTACACATAATTTCAATCAGAACCTATTGATTAAAAAAATATCCTTTTAGTTTGAAATTGCCTCGCTTATTCTCGGACCCTGGCAATCCCATGTTCTGGTATTATATTTTAAGTCTCGTACATTATAATAGCTATGTTGAGGGGATATAAATCTAAGCAAGTCAATATCCAATGTATAGTTTAATGTTTAAATCCATAACTGATATTCATGAATATAGCACACAGAAGTGGCTATGGACACTTGATGTGACTCACAGGCACAGCTGTGATTTGGTAACAGTGGTGGGGGATGATCATTGAAACAAAAAAGTTGTATTTTCCTGGGGCAATTCTTTTAGTTTTGTAATAGAGAGGCAAAAGTTGCATCAGTGAGGGAGTCTTGTATTACTTTGAGGCAGTTCTTTTCCCAAATAGTGGTGTGGACGATTCAGTGGGTTATTCTCAATTCATTGAAATGTTACATGCTTCTGGAGACAAATAATCCTTGGATGACTACAACTATATTATTATTATATGCATTTACAGCCCCTCTGGGAGGATTAAACTACCCCTGTTTTGAAGATGGTACCTGCCAAGACAGAAACGCAGAGTGCAATGGTCTTTACTGTAAATGCGCTGAGGGATTCTTCGATAGCTACGGCATATGTGGTAAATAGCATAAAATATTGATTGCAATCATATTTTGTCATATTGTTATGTAATACTTTGTCATGTTTCTTAATACAATGTATTCAGATTGAGAAACAAAATGATTCAGACAATGACAATCAATCTCAGACAAAGTCGATACAGTAATTCGAAAGAATAATTTACATCTAGAAATGAACATTTTCAGTTTAAAGCATAATTAATCTCCTGCGAATCAAATAAAATAATGTCACTATGTTAAGAAATCATTGTATTTTTATTTTAATATTTTTGTTCATGTATGTATAATATATTTATATAATCTATATATTTGTATATCTGTCATATTTGCTCAACATGTTGAAGAAAATTGCTATACACTATTTAGTCAAATATTACAAAATTAAAACGCTTCACACTTTTTGTATCTTAAAGCTGTCAAATGGATAGAAATTATGCGATTCCTCCTTTGTGCAATTGCATCATCAAAAATGCTTGAAAACAATTGAATTACATAAGGTTTACCTTGATAGCCATTCAAACACAATAGCTGAGATTTTATTGTATTACAACAGACAATACATCTTTCCTTACACCTGAAAGTTCTCATAAATGAAGTACAAAACCTGTCATGTGCCAATGGATTCGTAATCTCGAGTAAAGAATAGTTAAAAATAAGTGAGTGTCATAAGATTTGCTTGAATAAGTCATTCAAACACAATATTTGAGATTCTGTTGTTCTAGATCAGATATATTAATGCATCTCTTCCCTTACACCTGAAAGTTCTCATAAATGAAGTATGAGACTTGTCAATTGCAATTTTCAAATGTACTGAATGATCTTTCAATCATATAACGTTATCCAGCCAACATGTATCTGCCTCATGTTGAATTAATGAAAAAATAGTTTTAAATGCCAATGTGGCTGTCATTCTGAAAATATATGAACCCATGGTTGACCTTGGGATCTGACCAATATCTAACTAAAGGATTGAAAATCATACTTTTTAGTTTTACACTCTAATCTATTGTCATAGCATAAAATTGGTTAGACAGGGGTAAGTTCATGTCCAAGGACATACAGTAATTATTACTGTCTTTAGAAAAAGCTAAAGGTTTTACAACATCTGGATCTACATTGTCTGGATGATGAGCATAAATAGGTTCTGATGAACTAGATTAATATGTAGCCCTTTGATTATTACTCCTGCATACTCTTTAGCTATATGACGAGCCACAAGTCAACAACGGCGCTTTTCTGTTAATCCAATATAAGTGCCAGTTACATTACCTTTTTTTGTTGTTGATAGTCTTTCCAAAAACCTGGTCTGAAATCCTCACTTAATTTGCTCAACAACAACATACATTTGTGTTTTGGTTTTTAGATGTTTCTACCACAAGATTGTGAGTATAAACATGTATCTTGCATAGTCGATCCTTCACCAGCAATGAAACATTTCACAGCTCATTTGACTAGTTCACTCACTGATTACAATCAGAGTTCAAAGTTGGCCTGCTGATCTGTCAGATATTCAGAAACAAGGACCATATCTTCAATTGACCTATAAGTGCTTCCACTGTACATCTAACAGTAGATGGTGGTTTTCAAATAATGTTATGGTCACACCTTTTAAGACTCAAAAGGCAAAATAATTTTATTACACCATCACAAGTGGAAACATATCTGTAACTCTTTTGTGGAAGGTATTGGGCATTTGGTGGTCTGCCATTTGACATCTGTAACAAATGGCAGGTGGTGGCATTTTGCATAGTTAATGCCTTGTTTATGGTTTGTAAGGCAACCTCTTGGACGCCCCGCCCCCTATTGGCCTGATTGTTTAATATAATGTTACATTTTATAATTTTTATTTGTAGTACCAGAGCTAGGGTTGGACTCCCCCTGTGTTGATGAGTTCAAATGTGCTGACCAACATAGTGCCTGTATAGATGGCGTGTGTGCATGTTTGGAAGGATATTTTGAACGTGATCAACAGTGTGGTAATTATGTTTTATTAACCTCTCCTCACTGTGTTTATATTGTAACTAAGGGTTCAGAGATTGTATATTTGAGAGACTGCCCTAGCCAAAAACACAAGAACTGTTCGTGAATTATCCTGAATTATTTCAGAATAATTCATGAACAGATTCTTGAACTGATTCTCCAGGAGATAGAAACTCTAGACATTACCAAACCCCAATGGAAAGTTGTGCAATTCTTTCAATTACTGTCAAGGTTAGTTTTATTGAGTTTGAAAATATTTAGATTTTTTACTTTTAGTCCTTCTGAATATAACCTTGGTAGGTGAGTATGAGTGCTTTTTTTTAATTTGGCTAAGGCCCAGCAAAATGGGTATATTTGGAAAGCTGCCAGAACATACTCGAATAATTGTTAATAAAAATGAGTGAAACTTGGGCCGTTGCTATGGAAATAAGATGCCGCTTGACATAGCAACCAATTTTAATATCTTGTCAGACAATTTTCCAATTATATTGCAGATCAAAAGGGAAAGATTGGTGTACCTTGTCTCATTGATGGGTCGTGTACTGACACAAATGCAGCATGCACCAGTGGAATATGTCTCTGCAAGCCAACTCACTTCCAGAAGAAGGGCTTATGTCGTAAGTTCAATTTCAAATTTATTCTAAGGATATTTTCTTATGTATTATACATACATGTGCTTCATATTAATATTTTGACTAGAAAACTTATACCGTATGAATTTTTTAAATATGGGGGCCCCACTATTGTTAACACATTGCTCTATTTGTTTACAATGTGTAAGACCCATGAAACATACCCTAAACAATGGAAAGAATGTTTATTAAAGCCACTTCATAAAGGTGGCGCAATATAAAAAGTACCCCTGCATTTGTAGCTATCATTAATGAACTTGGTTGGACACCAAGTGACAAATCCAATATTTTCTCCATTTACAGACTCTTGATCAGGGGTCATTCATAAGATTACTACTAACAAGAATGCAAGAAAGATTTGCATGTAACAAATCAAATAGTTGGAAATATGTCGAGCACATAAATGATATCTTTAAACTGATTGACCTTAAAGGCATTGCCAATAACTTAAATACTTTGATAGAAAATTATGAACCATCTATTAAGAAGACATGCGACTCTGAGATACAAACTGAAATGAATGGAAAATCTTCCTTGACACTGTATAGACAGCTTATTGATCTTAAACATAAAGGCTTACAGTACTATTTAAGAAATGATTTTGGTTTTGCAAGTGCACAATTAAAATTTCTTGCTCGGACCGGGAAACTAGGTCTTGAAGGTAAAACATATAAATGGGCAAATGTACAAGTAAATAGCCCATTCTGTGATCTTTGCTCTGATAGAGAAGAGAATATAAAGCATAGATTACTATTTTGTTCTAATTTTGCAGGGTAAAGATCCAAATTTTATAAGATACTTGAGGATAAAATTCCCATACATTTAACAGGGATATTCTTTTGCGCAACTGACACAAAATTGAAATGGTTACTGGGAGATGAGGCATGCATCTTTGGTGGGGGGGGGGTGGGGCATGAATATGGCGTTTTATTCGACTCTTTTTCTAAATAAGATTTTAAGTAAATATTAACATACCTATGTTTTAATTCTTTTTAAGACTCATTTTAGTTTGATAAAATATGCTGTATTATTACACATCCCACCTCTCAATTATATGCCTTAGATTCCTTTAGCAATCTCTGTATGGAGTCCTAACACCCCTCTGGTTTTACTGATGACATTAACTTGGACGCGTCCACTATTGAATAAAGTAGTTTGTACACGTGCCAACGTCCTCAATTTCCCCATACATTAGTGCAATCAACACGCCGTTTTTGTTTGAAACAAAAATTTATATGGAGAACAACAAGTCGTCAGTTGTAAAGGATATCAACCTTAATTCAACAATGAACTACAATGCCAATGAACAACTGGAAGATGGACAAATTCCTGACTTTTCAAGTCAACTTCAAAGGGATACTTCAAATTTGCTGCAAGGGAACATTTTCTCTGGCGAGGAAAATCCAACTCCGGGTAGCATGCCATCCCACACCATCACCAGCGGCATAGACATTGACAACAACATCAACAGTGACTTCATGAATCGTGGGCTCATTCCACCAGGAAATGAGGGGCATGATATGAACTCACAAGGGAAGGACTTGACTTGCCAGTCAAATTTCAACCCTACTTTGGATACTCGTGATTCTGGGCTCACCTCCCTACCCGGGACTGAGGTGCAGGACACATCCAACTTTCAACATCAGCACCCTACAACAGGGAGAGACTTCATACAGTCTAATAGTCTGAATTCAATAGGATTCAGAGCAACAAACACTTTACCATCTAAGAGGTTTTCAAAATCTCAACAACAACAACACTCCGAACTGCGGACCTATCAAAATCAACAACCAGGGCTAGCCTCAAGTATATCGCCAGATATGGTCCAAGATATTATCAAAGGACTGACTCCAACTCTTGAATTGCTCGTAGCAAACAAACAACTTGACGTTGAACTTCTAGGTGAAACAACCAACAGAAGCAGGTCCGCTAAAAGAAGGGAGGTACAAAGAGCGAAAAAGCGAACTGTTTCGCCGTCTAGTCTACAGTATGTTTCCCCGGACCGGGCATCTAGCCCCAAACGGGCAAGAAGTGATCATCCCTACAGCGAAGTGGACTCGCCCGTGACCTCTCCTGCGCACATGCGCCGTGACAGCAATAACCCGGAAGACTCGGATTCTTCCAATTCCGACAACGATCATGACTTAATTTGTTGGAAGAACTGTGTTAAACTAATTAAAAATGCCTTTCCTAGTCATTTTAAAACAACTACAGACTATAACACAGAAACACAAACGGAAAATAGACCGCTAGGACTTCAAACTTTGGGTAAGAAATCTACTTCTTCAGACACAACAAAAGGCTTACCGATCGGGCCTTCAGTGCTACAGAATTTCGCCAACATTAACCAGGAATTAGCCAACAAGAAAAACATGAATGACACTAACTTCCTGTTAAGACCAAAACGATCGTTCACGTCCCTCAAAGAAGATGAACACTTCTATAAAAAATCCATTTTGAATGGGACAACTAAGGAACTTGTTCCACATTCCATGAAACTATCAGATTTGGCTTCAACTTCTTACCAGCTTCCAGCCAAACATCACAAACTGTTGGAAGAATCAGCAAGAGCTCCTCTTCGTCATCTGTCTCACACTGAATGGATTCTAGGGACAACAGGGAAAATCATTGCGGAGAATTTCCCTGAAAATGAGGATCTCGTCAATCTTATTACAACAGCTTCAACTATGGTAAATAAAGCTACAAGGGACACTATTTCAAATGTCACAAACGTCATACTGACTCAAAGGGACAGGGTAAGCTCCAAGTTCAGGAAGTCAGACGCTGAAGCCCTTAGGAATCTCCCCATCGACACAAAATTTTTATTTCCTGAAGAGGATTTAAAAAATATCTGTGAAGGGTCGGATAAATCTAAAACCTCAAAAGCGCTACAAGATTTAGCTTCAAACTGGAAAAATCGAAAACAGAATTATGATAAATCCAGTAATAACAACTCCAACAGAAGTAGTAATCAACATTCCAACTTTAACAGGAACAACTTCAACAACAACAACAACAACAGAAACAACAACAGAAACAACAACAGAGGAAACTTCTCTGACCGTTCTACTTCTACAAAATCCAACAACAATAACAACAAATCAGGCTTTAAGAAGCGTAAATGACACTTCAATAACATCAATGTCCCAGCCCCGCCTCCCCCCGTTCTCACCTATGTCCCAGCTGGGACCAGTGGGAGGCAGGATTCAACTACACTTAAAAAACTGGGAACTCATCACAAAGGACCAATGGATTTTAAATGTGATAAAACATGGCTACATGCCACAACTAGTGAACAATCCACCTTTGACAAAAAACTTCAACAACTTCGAATCGGCATCAAAAACAAAAGCTCTACTGCTTCAAAACATAGTAGATCTCCTAATTCAAAAACAAGCTGTGGAGGAAACAGACTACAACACACCGGGCCACTACAGCATCATATTCTTACGCCAAAAACCAAACGGAGATTACAGACCCATAATAGACCTGTCTCTCCTCAACAAACACATAATATGCCCAAAGTTCAAAATGGAAACTTCAGCCAAAATATCAAACTCTCTACAAAAGGGCGAATGGGCCACATCCATCGATTATCGGGATGCTTACTACCATATACCGATAGCCAAACCATTCAGGAAGTTTCTTCGCTTCGTGATCAACAACAAAGTGTACCAATTCAAAACACTTCCATTCGGAATGTCAACCAGCCCTTATGTTTTCACAAGAGTGACATTAGCAATCGGTGCCTTCCTACACTTCCAAGGGATATTAACACACCAATATCTCGACGATTGGCTAATACGAGCCCCATCTGCACAACAGTGCCAAATATGGACACAAACAGTACTATCAGTGACGGAAAAACTTGGTTTTGTGATCAACAGAGAAAAATCCGAACTGATCCCAACACAGATTTTCAAGTACATAGGCACCCAATACAACCTAATACTAGGCCTAACATATCCTCCGCAAGACAGGATCCAGAAAATCTTAGAAATCGCACAATTATTCACCAATACCCTTTCTCAACCAACAAGGCAGTGGATGAAACTACTAGGCCTACTAGCCTCAGCAGAGAAAAATATACCCTGGGGCAGACTATACATGAGACCAATTCAACAGTGCCTAGCCAGCCAGATGTCTCCTACAAAATCACTAGAGACACCAATCTACATCAACCAAGAAGTAATAAACACACTGAAATGGTGGATGGACGAGCAGAATCTACTCATGGGTCAACCTCTGGGAATGTTTGTCCCAGATCACACAATCTTCACGGATGCATCGGAGACTATGTGGGGTGCACACATGGACTCTGTGGAAATCAATGGATTCTGGTCCCCATCGGAAATGAGAAACCACATCAACTGGCTAGAACTAGCGGCAGTATTGAAAGTTCTACACAAACTGAACCATCTACTGGTACCTCAAGCAAACATTCTAGTTTGCCTGGACAACACAACAGCCCTAAGCTACATAAACAAACAAGGCGGGACAAAATCGAAAAGTCTTCTGACCCTAAGCCAGGAAATCCTAAGCTGGTGCAAAAACCACCAAATAAACATAAGAGCTCAACATATAGCAGGATCCCTAAACCGACGGGCAGACGCACTATCTCGGGACAGGATAGTGAACACAGAATGGTCTCTACTCCCACAAATAGTGAAACGACTGTGGCAAATATGGGAGACTCCTCAGTTAGATTTGATGGCGACATGTCACAACAACAAACTACCACTATACAGTATGTATCCCCAGTACCAGACCAAAACAGCTGGGGAACAGACGCAATGTCAATCCCGTGGGACAATCTCAGCTTCTACATATTCCCACCAACAAGCATGATCGACAAAGTTCTAACAAAAATGAGAACACACAATTGCGAAGCCATAATGATAGCTCCAAAATGGCCAAATCAACCTTGGTTCACGCAAATTCTGGAACTTCTAACGGACTACCCAAGAACGCTTCCAGTGTCTCAA